CTCGCTCTCTCTCTCTCTCTCTCTCTCTCTCTCTATATATATATATATATATATATATTTAAAATTTTATTGATGATCTTTTTTAATATATGATTGTCAATTTTTGTCAAAAATTCTTACATTTTCGACAAATATAAATTTGTCAGAAATATTCCATCAGTAATATAACTTTTCTTTATATCACTTAGAGCATAAAAAAATTTGTCCTGCATCCCGCCAAGGTTATCTACAGAAAATCTGTAGGTAATATGAATTTTTTATTACCCACCCACCATATGTTATTTACTAAAAATTTCCGTAGATAACTAAAAGTTATCTACAGAAAAAATTTCATAGGTAATATTCCTTAGATAACTAAAAATTGTCTACAGAAAAAATTTCGTAAATAATATTCCGTAAATAACTAAACATTATCTACAGAAAAAGTTTCGTAAGTAATATTTTGTAAATAACTAAAAATTATCTACAAAAAAAATTCCGTAGGTAATCTGAACTTTTTCATTACCCACCCACCAGATGTTATTTATTGAAAATTTTCGTAGATAACTAAAAATTATCTACAGAAAAAATTTCATAGGTAATATTCCGTAGTTAACTAAGCATTGTCTACAGAAAAAAATCTGTAGGTAATATTCCATAGATAAGTAAACATTATCTATAGAAAAAATTCCGTAAGTAATATTCTGTAAATAACTAAAAATTATCTACAGAAAAAAATTTCGTATGTAATATTTCATAGATAATAACAGTTTTTCTTGTAGTGAAATTACTAATGTATGTTTACTTAACATCAATTAACGTTAAATCATCCAATTCATACAAAACTCCCAATTCATATATACAAACCTCCCCAATTTTCACATAGTCCTAGCTCTAAGATATTCAACATTTTAATAAAATTTAATTAATAATCATATGACTGCATGAATCACACAATCTTAATTAATTTCATCAAACACATTCCTTTAAAAATCTTAAAGAGGCTTAAGTATTGTCTCTTTAACCTTCTCTCATATATATCCAAGGATGCCACAATCTCACTCTTCTCTTATCTCGAGTGATGATTTTGCAACACAATCTCTTACACCTCACAACTACAAGTCCCCCATCTTGTATGCATGCAACATAACGAACATACAAACTACACGACGTTGTTAAAACATCACACAACAATGGATATCAAGAAAACAAACTATCTTCAAAGCATTTAAAAAGATGACATATTTATCCAACTAAAAAAACAAAAAAAAAATATGAAATGACATCCTTAAAGCAAAGAGCTTGTCATCTACCCTTAAACTCCCTAGGTACCCTTAGTGACAACATTACCAAAGTCTATTATCACTTTGGAAGCAACCCTGATGGTAGTAGCACCTTCCTCAACAACAACAACAATAACAAAAAAACCCCAAAAGCCTTTCCAATTGACCCCTCAACAACTCCATCATCCTCAGAAGCCATAAACACGTTTTCCCATGCATCAGATGAATCTTATGTATTGCCCTTATAAGGGAGGTCAACTTCATTCACAAGCTTCCCATATAGGGGAAATCTAGGGCAAGAAACGTCACCTGACTAACAACCCTCTAAATATTACTCACATGCTTGTAAAACTCAGAGAAATTGATGTGAAAATTATGTGTTCTCCTGTGGAGAATTCTCTATGAAATAACAAGATTCTAAACTGATTTCTAGCCTTGAAGTTTGTTAAAAAAATGGTAACCTGCGATTAGGCTAATTAAGAATATAATTACATAATTACATTAATACGTACAATCATGTACAATATGTTGTTTTAAAGGGTCAACAAATCAGCAAAAATAATGTCAAATAATTTGTCATCAATTCTATTGACAACCCCCCTCAAATTGATGTGGGTAAATCTAGAAGCATCAATTTGTTGATTAGGAAATTATGCCACTAGCGTGTCAAGGATTTGGTGAGAACGTCAACTATTTGAACAGATGTTGAGACATGAGGTAGAGTGATAATTCTTAGGTCACAGGGTTCCCTAATTGAATGACAATTAGCCTCTATGTGCTTCGTTCTTTCATGGTATACAGGATTTGTTGTAATCTGTATGGCATTGGTATTATCAACATGTAATGGAGTAGGTTGTTTTTGTGAATAACTAAGTTTAGAAAGAAGGTCCCGTAACCAAATAATCTCAGAGCATGTTGTAGACATGGACCAATATTCAGCTTCAGTGAAGGATTTAGAAACTAGATCTCGTTTCTTGCATTTTTATGAGATAAGGGCATCCCCTAAAAACATACACTAGCAAGTAGTAGACTTCCTTGTGTCAGAACATCCAGTCCAATCACCATCATTGTATGCTTTAAGTTTTATTCCTAAACTTGTAGTAGGAAAGAAAAGACCACGCCTGGGAGTGGCCAGTAAATATTTAATGATACATTGTATAGTTGAAAAATGCAAGTGTCTAAGGTTTTGCATGAATTTGCTAACTGTGTGGACATCAAAGAAGATATCAAGTCTTGTGATGGTGAGATAGGTAAGACTTCCAACCAAATTCTTGTATAATGTTGGGTCTGGTAGGAGTTCACCTTCATCCCATCTTAACTTGACATTAACTTCTACGGGAGTGTCAACTA